CCCCCCCTTCCTTCTTCTTCCCCCAGCTTTATATACTTAGCATGACATCACATGGTATGGAATGTCCCTTTGGCCAGTTTGGCTGTGCCCCCTCCCAGCTTCTTGTGCACCTCCAGCCTTCTCAGTCGGTAGAGCATGGGAAGCTGAAAAGTCCTTGACTAGTGTAAGCATTACCTAGCAACAACTAAAACATCGGTGCGTTATCAACATTGTTCTCACCCTAAATCCAAAGCACAGCACTGTACCAGCTACTAGGAAGAAAATTAACTCTATCCCAGCTGAAACCAAGACACCTGCTCCAGTACAGTATGAAGTAGCCTTGGTTCATTCTGCTCAGCCACCAAAGTAACTTGAGGTCCCAAATACCCTTGTCTGCAGACATCCTAGGTTTCTCTGAACTCACCTATGGATGCTTTGCCCTCTTATTACAATACTAAGGGTACAGACAATCTGTGGTTTAAGGAGTGTCCTGTTAAATTGTGGAAATCCTTGTCACAAGATACTAAAAGTTTACATGGGTTCAAAGCCAGCAGGATGATCTTATTGGAGAAAATTTAATCCTGAGCTAATTAATACCAAGAGCCCACTTCTGGCTCAGGATGTCTCCAAGTAGCAGGCTGTTGGAGGCTGAGACACTTTTATGGAGAAATATCGCTGTATGTTTGCCCTGTTTGTGTAATCTTCCCTGACTCTTCACTGTTGACTAGTGTCACTGTTGGACATAGTGTGTTAGGCTAGGCTGACCTTCTGACATTTTAAAATGTCTTTGGCTACTACATAGGTGGATCATAGGTGGCTACTATATAATTGGCTACCAAAAAAGCTGGATTTGCTTCTAGATGTACATCCAACAAGTTCAGAGATCAGGAAGAGACAGAAGTGGATAAAGTATCCTAGGGCGTCTCTGCACAATGCAAGTCTCAAGAGCGCAGCAACCAGATGCAGCAGGTCTGGGTGAGAATTCAGAAATAGGATAACTGACCAGGAAGAGTTAAAGACATCACAAATTCTAATGGAGATCAGGAAAATAGATGGGGTGGGATTCAGCTCCATGTGAAGACATTTAAATTTAGGTGTCTACATGTGAAGCAGGTGTCTGAACTCTCAATGCAGCACAAGAAAATCACGCCAACCGAGAGGTGCAGCTAATCCTCAGGAAGGCTCCTGCCGGCTGCTGAGCTGACTCGCACTCTGGGTTTGGTACAAAAAAAGGCTCGATTCAGCTGCCCAAATTTATTTGTCCAGTGCCATTTGAGATGCCCTAAGGTATCTGAGACATCCCCTAGGTCTGGCAGCTATGCTCTCAGACCTGGGAAGGCTATGCCCTTCAGGAGAAGTCGCTGGAGAGCAGGGAATATCATGTAACAGGGGACACCTCTATGTACTCCGCTGAACTAAGCCCTAGATCTTGACCCACTATACTGGAAGTATAGACACGTAGCACACACATACCCACCTACAAGCAAACTTCTATATTTAGGTGTGTTTATGTGGATCTGAGGCTCATGTAAAGCGTGCTGGAAAGCCTTGAGCAATACAGACTGTGTTGAAGAAAGAGTGTAACACGACAGCGAGGTTAGCTTGGCTTGTCCCATGCTGTTCCCAGCAGAGCAGCAAGGTAGCAGCCATTTTTAATTAGTGGTGACTGACTAGCAGCAAATCAGATATCATTAGAAAAGCAGCGTGCACTCCTGCAAATCATTCTTAGAACTTAAAAAAGAGTAAGGTCACCCAAATATTATGAATTATGCATTTGGTCTGGAAATTATTAAAGTGCTTACTGGGGGTTTTGGTTACCCTCAACCACTCTCAATAGGACAGTTTTTTACAAAAGCCAATGATTTGTCCCTGCCCTTATTCCTGCCCATTCCAGGAGCTCTGACAGCTTTCCTTATAACATGGAGTTTCCTGGAGGTCCTCCACTGCAAAAAATTCAAATTAATTCAGTTTTGCCAGTGCTGCACAGCATCTGCCCTGTGCTGCTGGGAACCCTCTGCCCCATTGAGGATCTCTGGTCCCCTCTGACTGCGAGAGACGAAGAAGCCAACAGCAGCATAGCTCTCTTCCCTTTTTTAAAGTATTGATCCAAGGGAGTTATCTACTTGTGTATAGCCTTCTAGATGGAGGGTAGGGATGGGGAGAGGCAAAGTGAGGAGAGGCTGAGGAAACAGGGGAGCAGAAAATGCACTGGCACGTGTTTAAAAAACAGTTGGGGGAGGGAGGAGAGCCTTCCCAGTCTGCTGGCATTTTTTTCACACCTTGCTCTCTCATCTTCTTCACCTCTTCACAATACACCCCCCACCCCCCCCAAACCACCCCCACCAACTCCTCAGGCTGGGAATAGGGAAGGAAAGAGTGTGTCCATTGCCTAGGGCAGCCCTCCCTGGCTGTGTTTCCCTCGGAGGCAGGGAAGGCAGGCAGGCACATTATTTCCGCGTAGTTTAACTTGCCAGGAACAGGTGTAAGATAAACCAAAATAAACCCCTCTTGGAATGAAATCAGAGTCCAAAGAAAAGTTTGCATCAGTTGAAAGTCACTTCCGAACATATTAATCTTGCTTGGTTTTCTTATCTAAGCATACCTATACTGGAAAAATTAAAAGTTAAGTACTTTATGATTCTCTCCCTACCACATTTTTATCCAACATACCCCAGGTGCCATTTGCCCTGTTACGAGAGCAAAATCTTCTGAACTTCCTTTCATATTCCACTTGAATTTAGCTGAAATCTCCACGGTATTTCTGTGGTTTAAGAAGGCTTTAACAAACTTCTGTCAATCTTATATAAATATTTTCCTCTTCTATCAGTATTTTTCCTTCTTGCCTTTTAGTGGCAAAACTGGGAAATCAGGAAGAAAAAAACAAACCCAGAAAGTGGATTATGGGTGAAACCTAACTTTATTGAAGTAAATAAATAGCAACATTTTGATTAATTTAACTGGGACTAAGGTTTCACTCCATATCTTGCTGTAAAGCAATAGGGAAGTTTAGGATGTGAGAGTGAGTAATGGGCAGTATAATTCCAAACGTCTCTGTAATGACTTATTAGAAGACAAAAGTTTCTGAGGCACATTTATTTCTTTGATTTTTTCAAAGCTAATATCTTGTGTATGAGCTTTCAAAATGTTAAGCGTCTCCTCAGCTATGAGGCTGATTTTATTCACTCTTTAGAAATATCTCTCATATTCCTATCCTTGCAGATAGTGTCCTTCCTGGTTGACTCCAGTCTGAGATTTCAGATCTTCTCAGCAGCTTTTGCAATGTTCGCTTTTGAACACTTCATTTCAAATTCAATTTCAAACAATGAATTCTTCCATTTCAGATCTTTCACCTAGTACCACTCAAGAAACCCCTGAGATTACATGAAAGTTTTGTTCATAGTAACTTAGCAAAGGCTTTTTTAGTTGACAGCCACTGTGTTAACAACTGGGCCCCCCTCGAAAAATAAAAATGGTCCCAGAACTCAT